ATGAAGAAATTTCTCTGAAAGCATTTGTTGATCAACCATTCTGAAATTAGGTTTGATTGTTGTTGGACCTGTCATGGTGGTTCTCATCCAGGAGGATAATGGAGGGTAATGGCTAGCCATTAGGAATTGATTTAAAAACTCTTTATTGCCACATTGGAGCAACAGGGACTTTAGAAAGCAAAGCTCTCAGGCTACTCCACCTGGATTTTACTGTCAAGTTTAGTTTTATCTACTCTATCATTGTCAGTTAGCTATCATTGTAAAGTGTTTGGCCAGCACTATTCTGTTAGTAGTTGTATTTCTTCAGAAATTTGACAGGCAACCAGGTACCATGGTCAATGGTAGAGCATTTGCCCTGGCATGTACCACGCAGTCCTTGAGTTCAGTCCCCAGTATCACAAACAAACAAACAAAAACAACAAACAGAAACAAATAACAAAAGATCAAGGGGGACTGAGTGAGATTAGTAGCCATGTGCCTTGTTCTTTTGTCTGTTTGGGTATCATCTTGCCTAGAGGAATGATCCAAGTACAACATGTAGTATTAACAACACAGACTTCACCTTGGTCAGCCAGGAAATAATCATGAGCTATTCTGTTAACTAAAGTCACTCTAGCAAGAGAATTGAATGAGTACTGCTGTGGAGCAATAGCCTCTGCTCCAGATTCCTAGATCTGGGTGCAGTAGCGCACACCTGTAATCCCAGTGGCTTGGCTCTAGAAGATTGCAAGTTGAAAGCCAGCTCATCAATTTAGTGAGACCCTGTCTCAAAAAATCAAACTGGCTGGGATGTGGCTCAGTGGTTAAGCACCCCTGGGTTCAATCCCAGTTTACATCCCCACCCCAAACCTCCCCCCCCAAACAAAACAAAACAAAAACCAAAAAAAGATTCCTGGAGTAACAAACTAAATTCTGTAATCATTTCTTCTTTAGTACCTACATTATACCATGGTAGAAAAGATTTTCTGTAGTTCTGTGCTTCACTAGGTAACTCAGGGTTGGAACCTTTAATGTGGTGAAAGAGGGTTAGTCAAATGATCACCCCAGTGATCAGTTTGGGATCTTTTGTGTTCTGACAACAAAATAGTGAAATATCTTGGGAAAGAAGAGAGTAATACCTGGAGAAGGAGATATGAGATTGGAGTGGTGGTAAGAAAAGAATTTCAGAGATGAGTGAATGAATGAGTGGTCCATTTACCTGATGCAATTCCCATTTGATAATCTTGTCGCTTTCTATTGCCATCTACTTGACTATTCCTATCAAAAACAGCCTCCCTCAACCAAACTGATCTGTGCAATAAGTAGTCTGGTGATTGGGAAAAATTAAACTCTATGTATGACATCTTTTCCTCTTGTATTTAGGGAATTTCATTTTAATTCCACTATAGGGAGTTTTGTCAGAGCTTGGTTTTCCACCTCTGATGACTTTCCCCTGCTTTTATTTAATTAAATTTGTACAATAAGGAGAAAACCTAGTAGAATTCACTGAATAAAATTGACCCAAAAGTAGTTTGGTGTCAGGGCCAGAAAAAAAAAGCATAGCTCCCTTTTATTCAGAAGATTTTTCAGAAAATTTTTATGTCAGAGAGGAGTAAAAGACGATTTTTTGTAATATAGAATTCAAGAGGTACAAAACTAAGTGCAGTACCAAATCTTCTCTTCCGGTTCCTTTATCCACTCTTTCCTTACCAGAGCAGCTGGCATTACCAGAGATTCTGTGCTTCTACAAACAAATTCACATAAATAAATATAATTGCCTTTATACAAATTGTATAATTATCTCTTTTGTTCCTTTAAATTTTGTTCATGAGAATTGCTCCATGTCACTATATAAAGAGCTTTCTCATTCTTGTGGCCCTGTTGTATGGACATCCATAATGAGCTAACTGGTATCCTGTTTATGGTTGATGTTAGTCTTCTGTGATTGATTCGGGCAAATGTGAGTGGTTTTGACCACAATTCTGGTTGCTTATTTAGATAGCAGAAATTTAAATCTCATTTAATACTTAAATTTAAGGAACTTGAAAGATCATTTGATTAATGGGCCTTATTGAAAATAATTGGTATTATCATTTTTCTTTTAAGAAAAAGTCTATATTCATTTGTCTACCCACACAACTTGTTTCCAGAAGAAATAAGAGTTATGGTAGTTCAGCAAATTTATTTTTCATCTTTTTATTAAACATTTACAAAAGAAATTTGGTTGAAAAGACCAAAGCCCACGTCATCATGAGACTCCTCAGATTCTTTATTTGTTTCCACTTTCTTCTCCTCACCTGGAGAAGGACTTGCTGATGTAGCACCAGAAGCTAGAGCAGGTTTAGCATCACTTATGTTAACAAGAAGGCTACCAGTGTAGACTTTGGCCAGGGCGTTTGCAAATAAGCCAGGCCAAAAAGGCCTACATTTCTACTAGCTGCTCTTGTGACAACCTTGATGGTATTCTCTGTGTAGATTACCTCATTGTCCTGCATAAGGAGAGTAATGTAGATCTAGGTGATATGGGGGATCAGAAGACCATGGTGGGGCAGTGCCGGACTCCATGACACTTATCTCCAGATTAAGTGAGAGCCCCAACAAGGCCTTAGCTTCTTTGGAAGGACCAACCCCCTTGGCAGTTTCTGAATAAATGGGGCAGTAAATTTTACTTTTCAACATGACATTGTATTGTGATATTTTGAAAAGGTCTATCCTTGAAAAGTCCTGCCTTCTTTTAAAAAAGTAGAGGCTTGATGTTTGTTATTTATGGTTGATATTAATTTCATTTCATTATATTTCTCAGGTATTTTAACTTTAAGGAAAAAAATCTGTATTTCACTTTATATATGTAGTGAGTCTCAATTAGCATCCACAGAAAGTGACAAGCCGACAACTGGTCAGGTTTATTAGAGTGATTCCTCTAATCATTGCATGCTTTCCCCTTCCTCTATTGGTCACCTGGTTATATATCAACAGAAAAATCAATTTTCTTTTTTTGTTGCTGGGAATTGAATCCAGGGCCTCACACATGCTAGGCAAGTGCTCTACCACTGAACTTTTTATTTTTATTTTGAGACAGAGTCTTGCTAAGTTGCCCAGACTGGCTTTGAATTTGTGATTCTCTTATCTCAGCCTCCTGAGTTGCTGGGATTACAGGTTTGCGCCACCATGACCAACATCAAACACTCATTGTTAGAAAATCTAGGGTTAATTCTTTGTGCGCGGGAGGTATTTTAAATCGACAGTTTTTTTTCATGTTTGTATTGCAAACATACTTCATTTATGACACTTTAAATTTGTTGTTTTAACTTTTACTCTGTTGACTTTCAAAAGTGTTACATTACTTTTGAAACAGTGTTAGGAAAAACATTTATGCTTATTTTCATTTAATTGAAAAATTAGTAATGATACAAATATGCTTATGAAGTAGGCTATCCAAGGGAGTATTTTTTAAAACATTTTTTCCTTTAGTTGGACACAGTACATTAACTTTATTTATTTTTATGTGGTGCTAAAGATTATGGAACCCAGTGCCTCACGCATGCCAGTCGAGCACTCTACCACTGAGCCACAACTCCAGCCCCCCATGGGAGTATTTAAAACTTAATAAAATATTCCAGTAGCTGTGAATATTCTGGTTTTCACAAAAGTATTAAGGAAACCTATCAGAATTCCTGTTTTATTAGCAGTTGAGAACAGGGCTATGAAATATAAAAACAGGTATAGAATATCTCTGTTTGTATTAACAAAAAGGCTTAGCCTGTTAGACCAATAAAAGAATTTTTCAGATTTTTTTTTGGTTATCTTCTATTATAAGTTGAACCATCAGGTAACTTGGTAGAGTCAACTGATAAATTTGCCACAGTGCACATGACTAACATTAGATTAATATTGTGTCTGTGATTTATGGAACATGATGGTTTTTGCCCTCTGTAATGTTCCATGGGCAGGCAAGATATTGACTTGTGTTGTACATTCTTAGCATCCTCTTAAAAACTTACCAGTTAATGAAATCTGCACTACATAGGTCACAGAATCTTGTGGTTAAAGATTACTTATCCCTGCCTCTTTCCTTCCCTGCCTTCCTTCCATTCACCCACTTCCTTTGGACTGTTTCTTCATGATTAATTAGAGTTATATTATTCACAGTGGTGGTGTGGGTGTTAAATTCTAAATTTAGCATGTAAGGTGTAAAATGTGTGTAGGATGCCTTCTCTTAAACCCTTTAGAGTCATTCATAGAGTAGAGTTTCCTGGGTTCACAAAGTAGTTGAACTGTATTTAGAGGCCATTATTTATTGGTGGTGGTGGGGCATTTGCTTAGACATTATACTCAAATTCAGCATGAGAGAGAGATGGGAACTAGGAAGGACCGAGGGAACAGTGAATCTGGCCATTCGTTTTAATGCTACTTTTGAGCAGTCTTACCGGTTTGATATGCATACTTTGGTTGCTCATTTGCCAAATGCATGTAAAGCACGCATTGTTTTGTAAAAAAGAGTTTACCTCGCTATTTCTTTTTTATTTATTTTTTGTTGTAGATGGATACAATATCTTTATGTATTTATTTTTATGTGGTGCTGAGGATTGAACTCAGTGCCTCTCACATACAATGCAGGCGCTCTGCCACTGAGCTACAGCTTCAGCCCTCAGACTACTTTTTTTATTTAAGGTGTTCTTTTTCATTTATATCAAAGTCAAATATACATATTAAGTACATCAGAGTTTTGAAGATCCTTTTTCTATTTATTTAAAGTTCTAAACTTGAAAATTCTTGTTTATTTGCTGGCTTTGTAAGTTTAGTAATAGTGGAATAATGTGCCCTTCTTAGTAGTTGAATTTGCTAGGATTTTGCTAAGCTCTTTGAATTTTCAGACTGTTTAAAGCAAATGGATAAGGACATATAATATTTTAAAGGCCTTCAAAATGGTAATTTTGGTTAGAAAATCTTAAAAAGTGGGCATGTTTGTTGAATAAATAATCCTCCATTTCTTTTTATTGATTTTGTGTGTTTTTGTACAGGTTGCTTTCCTGTTGCATCTTTGATATCGTTTCCTAGACTCTGCTCCATGATTTAACTTGAAATTCTGAAATGAAGATGGAAGAGGCAGTGGGAAAAGTTGAAGAACTCATTGAGTCTGAAGTCCCACCGAAAACATCTGAACAAGAGACAGCCAAGGAGGAAGATGGATCTGTAGAACTGGAATCTCAAGTTCAGAAAGATGGTGTAGCAGATTCTACAGTTCTTTCTTCAATGCCTTGCTTGTTGATGGAACTGAGAAGAGACTCTTCTGAGTCTCAATTAGCATCCACAGAGAGTGACAAGCCGACAACTGGTCGAGTTTATGAGAGTGACTCCTCTAATCATTGCATGCTTTCCCCTTCCTCTAGTGGTCACCTGGCTGATTCAGATACATTGTCTTCTGCAGAAGAAAATGAACCGTCCCAGGCAGAAACAGCAGTGGAAGGAGACCCTTCTGGAGTGTCTGGTGCCACAGTTGGGCGTAAGTCTAGGCGATCCCGTTCTGAAAGTGAAACATCTACTATGGCTGCCAAGAAAAACCGGCAATCCAGTGATAAACAGAATGGCCGAGTTGCCAAGGTTAAAGGTCATCGGAGCCAAAAGCACAAGGAGCGGATCAGACTACTGAGGCAGAAACGGGAGGCTGCTGCGAGAAAGAAGTACAACTTGCTGCAGGACAGTAGTACCAGTGACAGTGACCTGACTTGTGACTCAAGTACAAGCTCCTCAGATGATGATGAAGAGGTTTCAGGGAGCAGCAAGACAATCACTGCAGAGATACCAGGTAGAGGATGTTTTTTAAACTGACTGTAAAGCAACTGATGGCATTTCTCAGCTGTCAGGCTCAGTTAGATGAGTGACACTTGAAAAAATCCAGGAGACCTGCAGCTCTGAGTAAATTTGAAGACTGCAGTCTGTTAACAAGATGTGGCCAATTAAAAAAACAAAAAACACCAAACCTTTTCTGAGGTTTTCCAGTGCACTTTAGCACATCAGCAGAAAAATTATTTAAGTTGTTACTGGTAGGGACAAGATTATTTTTTAAGTAATGGAATTTCTCACAAGTCTCTTTCTCTGTAATACATTACCTGAACTCCCATCTTTGCCTTTCTAGCACGGCTTAGATTTTACTATTCAGCATTATTATGAAGTATGTTTTCCTCAGGAATAGGCAACTTGCTTTATTATATAGTCACTGCACTTATGAAATGACACATTCTGTCTTTCATTAAAGTTTTCTAAGAACTGCTCCTCCTAAAATGGTAATTTTATGTTTTCCCCCAATTATGAATGATAAACTAGTTATCTTTGTTGCATACTCACATTGGACAGATTTTTTTTTTTTTTTTGGCAGAATTTCCCGTTAATCCCCAAAGCTTTAAAAAGTTTGTTAGAAATTTATTTGTTCCAGCTGTCATTGGTGTAAGGGTCTGTAATTTATTACATGTTTGATATTTCTACTTTCCCTGTATTATCACATCAGATACTGTGTACTATGACAGAGACAGTCTTGAAATTTCATAGTGGAAGAAAGATGATATATGAATGATTTTGAAGTGGGAAATTCTCACTGGTCAAGACTGATAATGATTAGAAAAATTTTGTAAACTACCTAATGTTTAATAGATCATGATAATATTGTTTATTGCTGCATTAAAGAGGGGGAGATTTTGGTTTTTTAAAGTTTTATAGGTGACTATGCTTCCCCCCCTAGTTTTCTGTTTCTACACACAAAGACAGCATATTGCTGATATACAAAGGATATTTCAAGAAAAATCATATTGGTTAATTAAGCCTATAACTAACCAAACTTATATAAATTCATCAATAAGAATGATTGGTTTTAGAAGCACTTTATAGGTGTTCAACTTACAAATAAAAGCTTCATCCATATGAAATATTAAATATGAATTTTAAACAGTCTTTAGAAATGCTTTTTATTCTTTGAATATCTCTTGAAAATTCATTTGGTAGTTCCTTGTATAAAAAACACTCAGAGGGAATTTACATAAAGCTCATTAGAGAAGCAGACTTCAGGGTTGTTCTAAGGTAGGTTCTAGGTATATTTCAATTTTAGAGTTAGTAATGTTTTTAAGAAAGCCTTATTAACACCCATAAACTTGTTCATGAATTCTTATATCCTGTTCTCATGCATTCTTATATCCTGTTCTGATGTATTAATCAAGATCATGATAGCTCTCTTGAACAGTCTTTCATTCCACTAACCAAATAGTTTTTATGTAACTTCCCAATACATGACCCTTTTATGGAAAGGGAGAAGATGAGTGGACAGAATTCTCTTTGAAGGTGGAACCCCATTGTAGAAGTGCCATGATAAATATCTTCATGGGTAATTCTCCCTGTTTGGCTTTTTTAAATAGCTTAGGTATGCTTTAGTCATATTTGACTACCTTGACCATTGTTTAAAACCTCTAAAACACCAGTAGTCTCTTTCTTATCTATTCTGAATTGTATACTAATCAAACACCAAAGTAAATTAATCTGAATCTGTAGTTTCTATTTTTTTTTTATACTATTTAGTGAATTTTTGGCTTTTGGAAATATGTAGAGTTTTCTAAGGTAATGATGAAGAATCAAATGACAGTTTAAGGTGCAGACCCACGTATACGACTACCTATGTTGGGCACTGCATAATTTTGCGGAGGAAGTACCATTCATATAAGACAACTATGAATGGTCTTTTCTGTTATTATGCAAAGCAGCAAAGATGGAACAACCTAGAGTTTAAATATTAGAGACTTCAGGTCAGCTGTCTATATTGTTATCTCTGAAAAAATGTGCATCATGCATTTTTAATATAAATTAGGTATACTTTAGTTTCCTGAGTTGATTATGACTTTGGGCAAGAAGGGAGACATGTTCAACCATATAGCAAGAGCAGTTGTTGAAAAGTTGTGTTATGAACTAACTTGAGTGAATAACATGGACATTCAGGGAAACTTAAACTGGATGTGCCTAAGAGAATATCTTGGATGTTGAAATTTGCATCCAGCTGTTTACACAGAGTGGAAACCAAGGGGAAAAGTAAAAACTTCTTACTACATGCTGTTTCATCAAGGTACAACCAAGTCGATAATTTAGAAAATGCTTTATAAGATTTTGGTAGCAGCATAAAAGTTGAAGGAATTATCTTGAATGTACTCTTATGCCAAGTAATATAACAATTAGTGCATTTTCTTTTAAAAAGTGCAAATAATGATGTAGACTAATATAGTGCATGATCAAGCTTAATAATTTATTTTCATATCTAGGCAACAGATGCTTATTAAGGTTTTAAAAAATAATATTAGTTAACTGACAGGTGGCTTGTTATTAGCATTTGACCATTTTCTTCTCGAAGGTTTTGGGAATATGGATGTTATAATAATCTGTTTGGAGATATCATACCAAGATAATTCTGGCAATTCTTTCATTTGGGTGACTTAGAAATGAGCCAAGAGTATTTTATAGTAAAATTTGTAGTATTTTGTAGTGAATTAATGTCAAAATGGTTATTCATGACTTTTATCAAGTGTCTGATTCATCTTTATAGATTTTTTGGTGTGTTTTATGTATTTCCATGATTGGAGCATTATTTTTCATGAGGGGGGCAGTCTCTCTGTAAAATCACTCCTTAACTCTATAAAATAAGCTGTTGGAGGCATTTTGATTTTTTAATATGAATAATGGGCGTTAGACTCCATTCAGTTCAAGCAATTCATTCTGTGAATAGACATGTACATCAGTGTACATGGGCAGCAGGAAAAAAATTTCATAATTAACATAGGGTGAACCCCAGGTAGCTTCATCTTGTCTTGGCTATAATTGCTTGCTTTTGTGTGGTCTAATGGTATACCAGATAAAATACCTAGAGTAGGGTTCCAAAAATGGTACCCATTGTAATAGGTAAAAGACAGTTGTCTCACCTAGTTTCCTCTCTTGAAGAATGTCAGAGATGTTGTTGGAAGACAGCTGTTTAAGGTCACCTGAATTCTCTAAATCCACACGAGCAAATCAGAGTAGCTCAGTCTGCTGAAGCTAGGATCCCAGCACCCATTATTCACCAGATTTATGTACTGAATGTATCATGACAAGCTGTTGTCTTACCTCACACTTTTTGGTAGAGATTATTATACTTGATCAATTTACTGTTACTTGGAAGTTAAAACAATAACAACAACAACATTTCTTTTGAAATGGTAAATTCTTTGTAGAAAGTTTTGGAAATGGAAAACTGTGAAGTAAAATATTAAAGTCACCCATAGATTCACTTTTGTCAACATTTGAGTATGTTTCATTCTGTAATATATAACAAAATTTGTCACTAGATAATGCTTCTATTTCCTTTTCCTTTTAAAGTTATATTTTGAGCCTTTAACCAAAATGCTATTATCTAGGATATTTGGATTTTGAATAATTGAGCTAACTATAACTTCTTCCATGTCGGTCATTTGGGCTGTTTTTACAGCTTGCTATCATGAGTAAGAGTATGAACACCTAGGGCTCTTGACCTTATACTTCCTACTGCTTTTTAAATGTTTAAGATGGAAATGTGGATCAGTGAGCACTTGCTTAGCACGCATGAGACCCTGGGATCGGTCCCCAGTACCACACAAAAATAAGTAAATAATAAAATATATTTTATTCTATCCAGGAGTTTTGGATGTCTGTCCATTATATTCTTGCTATTGAGTATTTATTTTTCGAAAATCTTGCTGATGAAGTAGAAGAATTGTATCTTATAGTAATTTGCATTTCTTTGATCAATACAGTAAAGTTGAAAAATCATGTTTGGCCATTTGTATTTTTTTGATAAACAGTTTATTCTTGTTCTTTTCACATTTTCCTCTGGCGTGTTGTTTTGTTGCTATTGTTTTTCCTTATTAATCTGTGAGGGTTCTTAACCTATTGGATATTTAATTGTTTGGAATAACTTGAGCAGTGTGAACTCATAAGACCCTAAGCCCATAGAGAGAATTCCATGAAGCACATTATTGGCCTTTTCCTAGATTGACTATAAAGTTATTCTCTTAGTGACAAAAGCTCCATGTCCCTATTGTTGGCCTTTTGTAATCTGGTTATATTTTGATAGCTTTTTAAGAGACTTACTAAATAAAAAAACTGATAATAAAACACTGAAACAGAGTAATCAGGTAAAAACTGTTCAGTAAATACAAACCAGGTGGATAAAATTCATCCACTTTAACCTGGCTATATGTTAAAATCACCAGGGAGAATATTATGATGCTTGGGACCCACTTCATCCCAATTAAACTAGAATTTTTGGGGTCTGATCCTATGGCATTAGCAGTTTTAAAGCTCCCCAGGTGATGAAAGTGAATAGCCAGGATTGAGAGCTACTCTCAGTTAAATGAAAGGTGAGCTGGATGCTGTGGCATGTGCCTTTAGCTCCATCTACTTTGGAGGCTGAGGTAGGAGATCCCTTGAGCCCAGGAGATCAAGCCCAACCTAGGCAACATATCAAGACCTCCATCTGAAAAATTAAATAGAATAAAATAAAGTGATATGCTAAGTCTCTCATAGCAATGGGTATCAAGTTCTAAACAATGCAGCCTTGTTTTTTTTTGAAATTGTATTATTATAAGCCATGCATTGTCTTATATTAATTAACAAGCATAAGCATCTTTTATTCTATTTAAATGAGTATTTTAAAAGCATGAATTTTTAAAATGTAGTTTTCTGTATATTAAAATATGGATGTTAACTTCAGTTTACAAGCTTTTAAGTTTGGTAGATACCCTACCTTTGGCAGTCTGTTGGGTT